TATATATGTATATATAAAGAGGCTTCTGTGTTTTGCTGGTCCATTCCTAGTCTTTGACTAGGAGAGAGAGAAATAATATCTTGCTTGCTTACTAACTAAACTAAGTTTAACTAACTTGAGAGACTTGACCCATAGAAACCTGGTTCTCAATACCATGTCTGCAGGTGTAGTTTTCCTGCATGAAAGCTTAACACAGAGCTTGATTTAACTAATCAAAAGGATGGATGGTCATCCCAGACTAAATAGCTCTTTTTTTAACTCTCCCTTTTTCTAGTGAGTCTAGTGTCTTCAACTTGTCAGGCCTTATTCAAGTTTTTCTGTGCCAGTGCCCTCTGTCTTCCCAACCTGTGTAGCAGGAGCTCTTCCCAAAGAACTGTTACCTATTGACCAAAAAAGAAGGGGAAAAGTGGTGCTTTGATCCCTTTCCCATAATGCCATGGTTAATGTATTTTTCAAAATGGGCCATAAAGTTGCTTGAAAGTGTAAAGAAAAACATCCTTGTGTTGTTGCTGTGAACATTTTTTAGAAAGACCTAGAAGTGCAGAGAAACAAAATACCCTTCAAGTCTGCTCTGCGTTTATTTACTTGTGTTTTGCTTTCTCTCTGGCAGGTGTGGACACTGCAAGCAGTTTGCTCCCGAATATGAAAAGATAGCCAAAACTCTGAAGGAGAATGACCCTCCTATTCCAGTTGCCAAAATTGATGCTACTGCAGCCACATCACTAGCAAGTCGTTTTGATGTTAGTGGTTACCCAACCATCAAAGTTCTGAAGAAAGGCCAACCAGTTGACTATGATGGCGCTCGGACAGAAGATGGTAAGCATCAGTCCCTTGCAATTCTCTGCAACAAAGCAAAGAAGTTCACAAGCTTGCTTGTTATCAGGGAGCTATTTATCAAGCCTCGCACAAAGGATTGTGACCTTGAGTTATGCACGTTATTAAGCCAAATAGCTGTGGCTGAAACTAACTCATCTTCTGAGTTGGCTACAGGCTAGAAGACAGTTTCACAGGTAGCAGAGTTACTGATGGAAGGTTTCTAGTAATACTGTTTAACTAGAAGACGAGGTAATCTCGTGCTTGCAGAAGGATTAGCCAATTAGAAACTCTGGGCCTGTATGTTAAGAGTGGATTACAACTATTACGTAATAAATGTGTTCAATTTCAGGGTAGTCAGAAGGGGAAACACTATTTTCTGACCATTTTGAGAGGGTTTCGTTAAATAACTTGTTGGAGAGTACAGATCTGTTCCTTGCTGTGGGGTGGAGGATATTTTAAAGGGCTTCTTGGCAATACTGACTGTGTGTTTGGTCTGTGTACCACTGATCTCAAAATGTTCACATCAAGTCTGTCACTGCCTATACTACAGATATGATGATACAGGCTTGCTAATTGGGCAGTTGAACTGTCTTTCAGCTATTGTTGCTAAAATCAAGGAAATTTCTGATCCCAACTGGACTCCTCCACCAGAAGCTACCCTAGTGTTGACCCAGGATAATTTTGATGAAGTTGTGAATGGTGCTGACATAATTCTGGTGGAGTTCTATGCCCCATGGTAAGCAAGAAGGCAGTTGGCTCTGCCTTTCTAGCACTACAGTCCTGAAAACAGTTAGTGAAACTAGCAGACAGGAGCTGATATCTGTCAATACAATGTTTTTTTTCTCGTTATTCTTTTTCTAAGGTGACTTGCCTCAACACTGTGCAGATGTGTCTATCTCTGATATGTATCAGTTCTCATCTGAACTTAAAACCATATTGCATTCTCCTGAAGACTAGACTGAATCTACATCTCAGCCAGGGATGGGTTCCAGAGCTTTAGTGCCTATGTAATTTTTCTTGGAGATTCTACATACTTACTGAGTTGGGAACATGTTGGGAGGTATAGCAAACTCTTGGAGAGGGTTTGTCTTTAGTTTAGAAGTTACATTGCTGAAAAGGAAGGTAATGTAGTAATGCAGGAACAAATGTAGAGGCTGGCTTCAGGTGGGAGAGCTAAGTTCCCCTGGTCTGAGAATTTCCTCCATAGGTTGAACTGAATGATCTCATTTCTACTTTCTCCATTCAGAAGAACTTGGCACCCTTCCCCTTCAGTTGCAGAAAGTACCTATCAGGACTTCTGGCTTATAAAATTGCCCCTTCTTTACCCCTCCCCTTTCCCTAGGTGTGGACACTGCAAAAGGCTTGCTCCAGAGTATGAGAAGGCTGCCCAGGAGCTCAGCAAGCGCACTCCTGCTATTCACCTGGCTAAAGTTGATGCCACTGCTGAAACAGAGCTTGCTAAGAAGTTTGATGTTACTGGCTATCCAACTCTGAAAATCTTCCGCAAGGGCAAACCTTATGACTACAACGGTCCACGAGAAAAATATGGTATTACAACTTCCCTTATTTTCTAAGGGCTTGACCACAAGTGTAAGCTGTGAAGTCACGTCAATACAGAATCATTCACATCACAGGAATGGGATTTCACTTGAAGAAATCTCGTTCTGAGCTGCGCACCTTAAAAATCTCTAACTTCTAAATAAGTCAGTAGAATAAAGTTGTGTATCTGATAATTTTTACAAAATCTTTTCATCAGGTAGTACCATAAAGTTTCAGATAAACTAAGTTAAGTACACATAATAAAGCAGCAGCAGTGTGAG